GAGACAACGAGCAACTAAAGACATTGGAGGTTCCAATCTATCGAAAAGAGCTGTGAAGTACCGAACGTTGCTCCTGATCTTAGTTAAGTATTCTGCGTAATCACACTCGGGTTCGAAATTGAAGGAGTGATCTTCAAAAAGTTTTTTTTCCTTTTCGATTGCTTTATCAGCCATATCTATGCAGCTCAGCAGATTCCACTCTGAGAAACAGGCTTGTCCAATTTTGGTGCTCTCTCCTTGCTTATGATCACAATACATATTAACCTGGCTCTGCGCATTGGGTGAATGATTGAGAAGCTGGATAATAAACGATATTACTATTCAAAACGTTGGTTTGAAAAATACCAGAAAATATATGATTTGCAGCCGTCCATTGCTATCAACGCCATAGTTTTTTTTGTCGTACATCACGCGTCCCAAATAGAAGCAATGGCAGAGTAATCTCATTTGATGTTGGGTAAGAGAGTCATAATTTTCTACATTCGAAAAGCTTCGGAAGCCAGGAACTTAAACAGTTTTGTAATTTGTAAACTACTGAATGATTGGAATCACCTTCTTCACTAGCGGTGTAAAACCCAAATCTAAGCTTGCCCGAGTTGCGGTAAAAGTGAACTTTCGGTCCAAATCGGAGGATCTCAAGAAGTTTATACATGAACAACACCCGAAGATCAGCGCTTCTGTTGTCGTGTTGTTGTGTCAATTCCGTATGAACTCTAATGTAGTAAGTCTTCAACAACGTTTCCTCGCGATATACATAGCACCAAACGAAAAACTACAGATCCTCATGGCTCAAACCGACTTGGATACCTGTTCTTTTCCTCTTTGATCTCCAAACAATATTGAGCTTACGGCATTCAGGATCTTCACCGTATAAAGTGGAAAAATAAGAGGTTGAGGCATGTTCAATCTCACGCAAAATAGTATCCTTCAAAAATTTCTTTGCGGGATACCAAAAACCACTGAATGTAGCAAAAAAAAGTTCTCTACATAGGAGTTTATGTTCACAAGCTGCTAGTCGAACGTGTTCTACAAGAGACTCCTCACTCTCAGACTGTATTGCTTGCCATGCGTTATGGGAGTGTTGCTTAAACCTTACCCAATTAACCCACATGAAATGCTTCTGTAAAATTATTTCTGTTTGAACTTGATCGTTATAAAGGAGTTTTTCATTATGAATCATGGGGAGGTAAGTCTACTATCAACTTATTCTTTCCAAAGTTTAATGAGAGGATGGCTTGGATTTCTATTACAACAGTGAATTTAAAACTTACTATGCTTATTTCTTCTCCATCCTCAACGGATTTGAGAGGATGTTCGACTATGGGCATCTCCTCCCCGCGGAAGTATATCTGCTGATTACAAAAGAACATCCGGAATAGAAGATTTATATAGTCCTGTACACCATCATAACTTATCTGAAATTGAAGAAGTGAGAAGATGAATAGGAATTGATTTGCATACTTCCGATGAAATACCCATTGTATATGATTGGTATGATTCCTCTCCACGGAGCAAAGTGAATTTCACTTCAACCATCTTTGAACCAGGATACTTCAGTAACAACTTTTTCTTAATTTTAGATAATTCTTCTGGTGATAAATGGTAGGAAGGATGATCCCTCTCCATATCCATCTCCATCTCCATCTCTCTCTTGAGATGCAAAAGCCTGCAATAGTTTGCAGACTTTCTCGTGACTAACCCTGATCTCCAATCTAAAAAATGTTATCATATTTCGAGTTCTTGAAGTCTCAAAATACAAAATACGTACAATACACGGAAAGAATAAGGCGTTCCTTAAATTTGGTGGCGAAATGGGAAAAACTAAAAAACTGAAAAGAAATCATGTAGCACACCAAGGTTGAATGACCCAGCGTCTAAATAATTGTGAATCTAGGCTACTACACTGCGTACGCTTAGCGACATATAATGGTTACCGTAACCCGCAAAACAGCCAACTCTAAGGGCTTCGCTCCTACTCTAGACAGGACGTTGTTGATTCTAATCGATATCAATAAAGACAGTACATAACAATCATTCAGCATCAACTTCCTCATCAATAACCGTGCACACAACTCTCTTACACAG